TTTCAAAATATCTTCGTGCATTTGGGTTATTGATATGTAACCAAACCAATTTTTATTGTTGTATTTGATAGCGTTGTTAGGGACTATCAACTCTTTTGTTGCGAGGTGTGGACGTTTTTCAGTAAAAAAAATTAATGGCTCCTGGAACATCTGTCCCGCAAACAATATTTAGCGGACTCCTCTGAGTCCAGTAAAAAAAAAAAAAAAAAAAAATACATGTAAATTAAAACCAAGGCCAATTAAATGCATGTATTAAAAAAAGGAATTACATTTATACACAATTGAATGTAAAGGAAGATATCAAAAACTTAGATAATATGAATGTACTTGCTTTTTTCTCTCTCTCTCTCTCTCTCTCTCTCTGTCTGTCTCTCTCTCTCTCTCTCTCTCTCTCTGTGATATAGGCATATGTGATATACATATGAGCATATGTGTAAGAGTTCAATTGTCAGTGGATCCTGGGGAACAAACCCGCTCTAGCGGGGACATTTTCGCATCTACGAGCTGCTACATCTTGTAGCAAGAGAAAGAAAAAAAAAAGAGAGGAAGGAGAATGTTTGTCTTTTTATAGACAACGCCGCTTAACGGACATTTTTGGTGTAGCCAAATGGCGTAACCCACAGCATATAATGCTCCCTTTTGTTTCTCTATAAATATTTCCCGAGTTTTATATTCGAACTTGAAGTATCGTTTAGGCGGAATCGCCATTAAAGTTAAGGCCCAAATAAGAAACAATGAAATTCAGTATAGAAAACACTATTTTTAGAGTAGTCTCAAATGAATCAATGTTTTAAATCTGTAAATTTCCGCTTTTCTATCAATATTAATATCTATCATACTTCATGACGCTAATTAGCAACACCCCATCCAATACAAACTTTACTGGCGACAATGTTAATATAGTTCTGTATATAAACCTTTGTTCTTTGCAAACTTTGTTCACCAGACCCTGAGGAATTTTCATTGTTTTGGGGAGGAAATCTAAGACAATGATGAAGCTTTCTCGCACGTATTCACACCATGTGTCTTAAGTTTGTTAGAAATACGGGAAGTTTTCGTACTAAAGTTTTTGTAATTAGACAAGCTTAATTACAATGTCGCAAAGTTTAGTCGGTACCGAAGGTCTGTGTTTGCGAATCTCCAATTTATTTTACTTCTTATTTTTGTTTGCTTAATTATTCACATTCATCCAACAAAAGACAAACACTAAATCTCAATGTGCTTCGCAAAATCTTAAGATTCTTTTGCACTTTATTTCTAATAACTTTGTTGGCACAACAACACTTTTTCACAGATGCTAAACTTTCAAAGCATTCCAGAGACTATGATTTTTATCTGACTCTCGAAAAAGGGATTAATTAAGCAATAAAATATTTCTTGTTCTTCTATAATATTTCATTATGCTGATATTTTATCCTTTAAGATTGAAATAAGGAAGAGAAAATAGAAATTGCAGGGGGGTAGACTGTTATTCATAAAGCATTTTTGTGTTGGTGAGACTTCCATTAGGAGGTCAGAGGTGGCGATAATATATCCCTAGTTCCGACCCCAAAATTAAAGAACAATACAGTCATAGTGGATTTTCGAAAATGTAGGAACACAAAGGTGATAATCGATCGGAAATTTTTTTCACAGGTTGACCTGGTCACTTAAGAAATCTGACTTTAAACGCCAACTTAAAATAACCAACGAAGTCAATAAAACAATTATGAGCTTCAGCTGAAGTCTTAACATCATTTTCACACTAAACTTATCAGTGCGTGTAAACTAGTTGTTGGTACCTGTAGATGAAAATGTATCAGAAAATGCCAAACACGAGATAACTCGTCGTCGGCACGAGATAACTCGTCGTCGGTACGAGATAACTCGTAGTCGGCGTCATAATACAAACTGGGTTAAAGGTGTTTTCTATGGCTTTTCTACGGTTCTGTAGCATTTACTTAAAGTATGACTTTTTTCGGTGGGGGGGAGTCAGTTAATCTATATTCTTCCTCTTCTTTTATGTACAATGACCCTGTAGGACGTGGATGATCATAGCTCTGTACAACTTTCTATCCTTTGTAGCTCTTAACTAGGTACTACCACCGATTTCCTGACACCCACCCCTCGAAAAATGCATTACAAATAATTTAAATGTCTTCTTTGAAATTAGCTGATTCGCTGTCATCAAGGCCATAGGTAAACAGCAATAGTCTTCTTCCGCCCCAAAGCGCATGTAAAAATTTAAAAAGTACGAAGGATCAAAAGGACTACAATTAAACACACTGATCTTCAGAGGTCAATAACGAAAGCTGACTTCAGACGCCAATTTTATAATAGCCAACGCAGGCAATAAAAAATGAGCTTCAACTGAAGTCTTAACATTGTTTTCACACTAAAAGTATTACTGTGAATAGACTCGTTGTTGGCGCCTCTAGGTGAAAATGCATCAGAAAATGCCAAGCAAGAGATAACGCGTCGTAGGCATCATAATAAAAACTGCCAGCCATGAGTTATCTCGTGATTGGAAGCCAATGTGTTAATAGAATGAAAATGCGAAAATTAGTGCCCTTTTTAATCCCATGTTCCATTAAAGCGTAGGAGATCATCGCTTTTTACAGATTTAATATGTGTGAATTACAATGAGGGTTCTTGGGAAAGAAGGTGGAATGGGTTTCCACTGTTTTCAATTCAGAGATGTCCTTCAACTTGACTAGTCTTCATCCAATAATCGAGAGTCCATCCAACAGCGTAATGTAATTATAAAGACTGTTTAAAAATATCTCTAGAAATACTGTGATTGGCATATTTTTACGCAAATTTCTATACAGAATATCTGTTCTGATCTTCCATGAATGTGTGAATGCTCCGCAAAACAAGTTTTAAAAACCCTTCCAACTCTTCCACCGAACTCTGACACCTCGAGGGGCTAAGGTCATTACTTGGCCCCTGAGACATCTCCAAATGTGGATGTGCCGAGGCGATTGGACCATTTTGGGAACGTGGGTTTTCCACACGAGATCCCCACTTTAAAGTCATCCTTGTACCACTTCCGGATTCGCAAGGAGGTGCGGATAAATGCTCTCACGCTTCGAGAAAGTCTGCTAGAAGTTTGAAGCTCTCACTATATAAACTCTTTTGTTCTTTGCTGCCAAATGAAAAAAGAAAGTGCATTTTCAGACACGAACTCAGAATGCGTGTATTTTATAAATTTTATTTATTATTTTATAAACATTATTTACTTTCAAGGTAAGAAAATATTCACTTAATCATCATCTGACAACATTAGATGTATTCTCTCATTTTTAGTAAATATATCAGATCTTAAAAAAACAAAACACAAATAAACTCAAAACATGTATTGTTAGCATAGGTCTGTTTTTTAAAAACATTTAAAAAAATAAAATTTCACCCTAACATTCGTCTCATGAGCACAATGCTTTTGTCAAGAAAGTTGAAATTTAGGGAATTTTGATTTCTTCTCGATGTCGGAACCCAGTATTTCAATTTTTAACACTAGAATCTCTGAACCAGACATCAAACTTCCAAAATCGGCACCACATTGTCACTATGATTTTCTAATAACTATATATATATATATATATATATATATATATATATATATATATATATATAGGTACCTCCAAAGATTCGCTAAAAATGTACATGCGTGGTGAAAAAAAAGCCCCAAACCTAATAAAAACAGTTTTATCGTCAAAATATTTATATTACTAAGTGAAAAGACCAAAGGATTTTTTAATGTTATACTTTTTTTTTAAATTGTTTTTCAAACGTTCGAAATTTTGGTTAAATTTCTTGTTTTCCTGGTGTTATCATAAATTTGAACGGAAAATTAGAGCAACGTTTTTCAGTGAAAAACACATTGATTTGGGAATTCTTGCAAAAATTAGTTATTTGTCATATTTTAATAAAACTTTCTGGACTTATTCAGAAATTAATTAAATAATTTTAGAAAAGTTTCTTTTTTTAGAATATCTTGATAAAAATATATCTTTTTACATCTGTTACCTTCCACTTATTTAATTTTAGGAAATTTCAAGAAATTATTTTTAGTAGCGCTTAATGTTTATATTAGTTATAAGGAGAAGTCCTTGGAGAATTTAAATCATCAAATTGTTTTTGATCAATCAGGAACCTCATCTCCGAATCGTAAAATATAAAAAAAATTACAATAAAACTAAGACATTATTTAATTATAACAGCTTTAATGAATAAAATATATTATGGACACTATTGTCTTAAGAAAAAAATTTCAATGATTAATGAATTTTTGCAAGAATTGTTTTCATATTTTTAAAAAAGTTTAATAAGAATAATTATAAAATTTTAAATCTTAAAATTCTGTATTAATTTATTGCGGTCAAGTGATATTGTTATTAAATAAAAACTATATTTACTAATCATAAATGGAAAAGCTTACTACAATTCGGCAAACCCCAGTATTTTAAAAATAATTTTGATCTTTGTGATCATGTGTGATCGCGCGTGTGTATACATAAACGTCCCAATTTTTGTAAATACAGATGTCCATACATGTCATTATCAGAAAATAAGACCATTAACTATAGTAAATTTAAAATTTATTGGTAATTTTCTAATATTTTTCTAACCCACCGTTAATACTGTGGGGCGTTGTCACAAAGTCAAGGACAGCATTAGTACCATGTGGTTTTCAAACATCCCATTTATAATATCATACATATTTCATTTAGTTCTTAATTTCATTATTTTACATTTTCTTGAATGTTTTTTCGAGTTTTTTATGGGATAATTAAAAATGAAAAAAAGGTTTTATTTTGGAAAATCGAATTAAAAGGTCAGTATTAAAAGTGAATATGTAAGTTTCAAAACTTTAAATATGTAAAAATCAGGTTTCATTTTATTTTTAGTATCAAATAAAACTGTTTGAAATTCACGACACATGACTAAAACCAAAAACTCGTAGTTACTTGACGGAGGTATCCAGAAAGCTACTTAACTTAAGCGTGAAAGGGGTTTATGGCCACATAACGTTGAAACACCAGTTCCCGTACGATCACCGAAGTTAAGCAACTTCAAGCCTTGTCAGTAGCTAAGTGGGTGACCGCTTAAGAATAACAGCTGTTGTAAGCTTTGATGGTGAGGGTGGTCTAATTGATAATAGTTTGGAATTGTTAATTGGATAGTTGAGTCTCAATTCCCGTTGGGTTATTTATATTCTCTTACGCACAAAATACCCTTGGAAAAGTATGAACCCACCTCTTCTCCGTTAGCTATGGGTTAATGAGTAAAAATTGTATCACTAAACAATTATTATCTCAAAAAGATTCTTACAATCTAAAAGTATTTTCTGGCTTTAAATAACCTGTAAATGGTTGGTAAGTAGTAGAAAACGAATCAATCAATAAATAATCGTGAAAATTTAACTCACCCCTTGTTAAATATTAAATAAAAAACATTGTGGGCATATTAAAGCACTTCACGTTACTAAAAGAGGAGACCGATAAAATAGGTTAAGATTATTATTATTTTTTAATCCTATATCTCTTGTTTCTAAATTTTATCATTCCCTTTATAATTATAATTTCTACCAGTGGCGACTCTAAGTCGTCAATGTTTGTTGGGCTCATTACAATATTTAACAAAATATACTATTGGTATAACTTAGATGCTAAAATGATTCCATTACTCTAACTAAAATATATAATTCTTAAATGTGTTTTTTTCTTTTAAATAACGTGTTGTTTCTATCATAAGTCGTGTTTTATATATGTCTATGCGTTAATGTGTTTATGTACCTCTATGTCTATGAATTTTTAGTTTAATTCATTGTACGTTTATGATCAGTACCACTGATTTCACATTTCCTCAACACTATTCCAGTCACACTCCTCACCCTAACCCTCCGGTCGACGAGTTAAGGCTGCCACTTTCTTTGATTTTCGCCGAATTGAAGTCGGGCTAAATTTAAATTTCCCTTTTTCAATTGATACATTTCACTAAAAAATGTTATACTGTACAGAATAAATTGTTTAAAATGGAAGTTTGAAAACAATAAGTTGAAATAAAAATGTGTTTCTTCAAAAACAGGGCATACAAGTCATTAGAGATTTTTAAAAGATTATTTATAAAATTAAAGCAAGAAATTCATTGCCGATGATGTCCCCAGTTCAGAAAAAGCTCAGATCCGACTAGCCACGTTAATTTTATTTCATTTTTTTTTTTACTTACTTTGTTTGTTTGTTTGTTTTTTGTTTTTGTTTTTTTCTTTCTTTCTTCTTCATTATGAACAATATCAACGCAATGAATCTCTGTCAATATTTCGAGGCATGGAGATAAAACAAATAATTTTGGATGCATCTGAAATCAAAAATGAAAACAACGCACTATGAAATATTTTGGAAATAGATATACTTGAATGTTGATTAACTCGGACTAAGCCCTTCCAGCTCGACCTCCTGAGTCGCCACTGATACCATTTTAATATCATTTGAGGAAGATTTTATAAAAATCATTTAGATAATTCAAAAGCACTGTTTATCATTATACAACTAACTTGTATAATCGTCTATTTCAAATTAATGTAACTGTGTATTTCCTTAGTGCACATATAGGTTTGCTACCCGGCACCAGTGATGCCATTTTATCTATTTTGGGGATGGATATAGTTCCCTCTTTGCAAAATTGTTCAGCCTTTTTGCTTTGTTTTTATTAAATGACGTGCATAATAATAATAATAATAATAATAATAATAATAATAATAATAATAATGTAGATGTAGACCGTCTATACATACCCCGTAAAGAAGGTGGAAGAGGTCTTATTCAGCTAGAATTGTCATATTGGCTTACTAACTTACATGGAAACAACAAATGACTGGATGATAAAATTAGTGAAACAACATGAAAACAGAAAGAAAAAAATTCAATAATAAAAGAAGGCAGTAAATACAAACAACATTTACATTTAGTAGATTCTGTAGTAAATCAAAACAGAAGCCAAGAACCAACTATTGCAGCAAAAGATATGAAAAAGAAAGCCAAGGATAAAGCCCTTGAACAGATGAAACAACGCTGGCAAGACAAACCTCTGCATGGCCAATATCCAGAACGTGCAAATAAACCCAATGTTGATAAAGTTAATACTCATCGATGGTTACGAGCATCTGGATTAAAGTCTGAAACTGAAGGCTTTATTCTTGCAGCGCAAGACCAGAGTCTTTTCACTAGGAATTTTCAGGCAAATATCATACATAATAATGTGGATCCAAAATGCAGGTTCTGTGACAAATACCAAGAAACAATAGACCATCTAATCTCAGGATGTTCTATACTTTCCCAATGAATATAAAAATCGTCACGATAGAGTGGGGCAATACTTACACTGGACAATGTGCAAACACTTTGGAAAATGTGTAAGCAAACACTGGTATGAACATCGGCCAGCGCCGGTTACAGAAATAGAAGATGTCACCATTCTATGGGATTATACCATCCACACAGACAGAAAAATTGAAGCAAATAGGCCGGACATTATTGTCAAAAACCAGAAAGAAAAAAACTACTAATTGATATGGCTTGTCCAGCGGATTGTAACATAGCAACCAAGGAATTTGAAAAACTATCAAAATACAAAGACCTGGAAATTGAAATAGAAAAAATGTGAAATTGAAAACAAGAATAATACCAGTGGTAATAGGTGCACTTGGAATTATAAAAAAATGGAACAAAACAACACATTGAAAGAATCCTGAAAACCCCAGCTTAAGAGACATACAGAAAATTGTCTTATTAAGTACAGCACACACTAATTTGTTTATGTAACGCTAGCAACTTCAATAAAAAAAAAAAAAAAAAAAAAAAAGGAAAAAAAAATTAACATGAAATGTGGCCATAACAACACACCACGACCTGCCTTAGGTCTTTCCGCAGACTTAGTAAGTGTGTCCAATAATAATAATAATAATAATAATAATAATTAATTATTATAATTAATAATAATAAAAAAATAATAATTAATAATAATAATAAAATAAATTAATAATAATAATAATTAAATAATTAATAATAATAATGAATAATAATAATTAATAATAATAATTCATAATAATAAAGTAATAATAATAATAACTAAAAATAATCATTCATCATGTTACAATTTACTCATTTAGCATAAGAATCTATTCGTCACCATTCACTTGTACATACACCAAAATACCTCACACACACAGGGAATCTAACAAAAACACCCCAGGACGTAAAAATTTCTGTATTTGCAATGTTCGTATCTTATACAAATATATATAAAAATATAAATTTGATGTCAAATGAGGGGATGGGTGAATACAAAAAAAAAATAAATAAATAAAATAACGAAATATAAATCAACAGATGTTAATAGAGCCCGTCCAAATAGTGATTTTCTAATTGTAGCTTAGATGTGGCACAAGGCCGAATGTATGGAGAATCCAGCGAGCATTGGACTCACTATTCAATCGTAATACAGTTAGCGAGACAAGCTTGCTAACCATTACACCACGTTGGTCTTTCGATAGATTATGCATTTAAAATCGAAAGATTTTTTTATGCTGTTGTTTGGCAAGAGTCTATGGTGTGGCATCATTACAAGAAAGAGATTCACAAGACTGGAAGAACTATGAAGCAATTATTTCTTAACAGGAAAGTAATACTGACCATTTAGAAAACAACTATCGTGATTGGCGTGGGCTTGAATTGCATTTATCTAAAAGAAAAACAACTGAAACTTTTATATTGGCGATAAATCTTGCAACGTTGAATTGCTCTGGTAAAAGTTCTTGAAGTGCAAAGCTTGTCATTACGCGAGACTAATGAAAAGTTGTACACTATTAGCAATGGATTATTTTTAAATGTTTGTAGAATATCTAACCATTTTGTATTTATCATGAATGAACATTTTAATAGTGTAATGACATAATTATTTTAGTAGTATAATGATATAATGATTTTATATTGTAATGGCATAATAATTTTAGTAGTATAATGATATAATGATTTTATATTGTTATGGCATAATTTTAGTAGTATAATGATATAATGATTTTATATTGTAATGGCATAATAATTTTAGTAGTATAATGATATAATGATTTTATATTGTAATGGCATAATAATTTTAGTAGTGTAATGACATAACGATTCGTTACGTAGGAAAATATATCCAAACTAAAAGTATACCGCTTTCCAGCTGATGGTATAAAGCAGCATATCTTAGTAAATACAAACTCAACTAAATACTATTTCTATTATTATACTTGCTTAGTCTTGGAGGAGCGGGTCCTTTCTAATAAACTTTCCAGTCTTGATAAACTTCAAATGCATTTTACTGTGCATTGTGGTTGATGAATACGTTTCCACCTTACAACGCCCACTCCAATAGACAAAAGTCTCGCTACTCTATCTCTATTTTCATGGCAAATGTTCAGACGAGCTACATTCCTTAGTAACACCAGTTCAAACCTTTACAGTTAAGGCCCCCTCATGATAGGTATACAGGGTCGACTCATCCTCGCTCCTTTCGTATTACATTGATAAGGAGGAAATTCCACTCAGACTGAAATTTTGGGTATTAAAAGTAAATAAAAGGACCAATAACCACACATTCTGTAGCTAAGTTAAATTGATTATAACTAAACCAAAAACAAATCTATACTAATCTAACTAACCTGGATAGGCAAGTATTTCTCGGGAAAGAAAAATCCGTAGCCAGTCCCCTCAAGATGCCATTCCAATTTAGCCTCATTCACGCACATTTCATGCTACAATCATGCACCTTTTTGCCATTTAGATGACGGTAATCTCCCCCTCTCTCTCTCTCTCTACCCCTCTCTCTCTACCCTCTCTCTCTCTACCCCTCTCTTTCCCTCCCTCTCTCTACCCCTCTCTTTCCCTCCCTCTCTCTCCCACCCCTCTCCTCCCCCTCTCTTCCCCCTCTAGCCCCCCTCTCTTTTATCTCTCCCTCTCTCTCAACAACCTGATCTTAAATCTAATCTGATGTTTAAAGAATGCAACCAGATAATGGTGAGAAGAGTCAAATTTTCCTTTATTCCGTCGTTCATGTCACCATCTGCATCACGGCGTATCATGTAGCTGA